TACACATATAGACCTAGTTTTATACAACATGCTATAGTTACCTAACACTTGCAGTCACAGGGGTTACCTGTTTAACTACTACATTATACTATTTTCTATCTTTGTAAAATTCACTAGAACTCTAGTACCTATCTTTCTAGCATCTTCTTCATCATCCTCTACTAGCTGCAACTCAGAACTATTAATCTCATTCCAAACTACTAATTCAAATAGCTCAGTATAGTATACTTATATATTCTTTTCCTCTGGTAAATCCAGTGGCCTGGTTGGTTATATGCTTCTTTACACATATTTGATGTCTGGTTTTAATCTTCAGTTCCTATAAAGGTGTTTCATAGGTTTCAACCAGTCTGATGATACAGTCAAAAGTTTAAACTATCTTTTTATTCAGGAAATTTCAAGTAGGTTTTCATCACCTCAGTTCCTTAGTTTTTTATACTCGATGGTCTTATTATGGATTTGCACTAAAATCTTATGCAACACTGGTTATACATTCCTCTATATACATGTAGCATTATATTTTACATATATGCTTGAGTTCTCAATGTCAATAGGACCCAACTTGGTGTACCTAGGTTACAACCATATGAGGTCAACTGATCGACAGAAGACAGTTACTGTAATGCAGATATAATTTTCAAATTTCATCATAGGTAGGATTTGAACCTTAGATCTGTTACTTGGAAGATGACAACCCAATCACTATACTAGAATTTTTATCCTCTTCTTATTTGATTTTTTTTTTTTTAGTATTTTCTTATTTGATTTTTATTAATAACAACTTATATATTTTATATATATTGTTTTTATCTCTTAATTTATAAGTTTTTCCAATCAAATTTGTCTAAAAAATTATTAAAAATATACTTATAATCTATTTTTTTTAAATTTTAAAATATTTAAATAAAATTTTATTTGATAATATTTAAAAATAAAAATTATATTGTAACAATATTTAATTTTATATTATAAAAAAAATATGTTGCTTATAAGCTAAAGATAGATAAATTTTAAAAAAAATTTTAATCAAAAAATTACTTATAAATTTCTGACAAATTTTTTAAATATCAATTTAAATTTATAGTTCTTAATACAACATTTTAGTTTATATAAAAAATAACAATTTTTATTAATAACACTTTTGCAATTTATTTATAAAAATTTAAATTTGTATAAAATATAAAATTTTTTAGTTTCAAAAACATATAAAATCTTAAAAAATTTTTAAATAATAAAATCTTTAAAATTTTAATACATAAGTTTATTATTAATATTTTTAAAAAAATTTTATAAAAAAATTTATAAAATATGATTTTAATATATTTTATAAGCAAAGTATACCTTATATCATTAATAAATTATTATTTTATTTAAAAAATACTCAATACAATTTAATTTTCCAGACAAATTTACCTGGAATACGGTTTAAGAGATAATATTTTTAAAAAAATAATTTAAGTTTATTAACTTTCTCAAATAAAATATTAACATAAGTTAAAACATAAGTTAAGTTTGCATTAATTTTTCATGTTTATTCTAACAAATATTAATATTAAAAACTGTTTATTAGTTTCTTGTAAATTTTTATGTTATATATTTATTTGTTTTAAATTTATTTGTTTTACATTTATTTGTTTTACATTCATTTATTTTATGTTTAATAGTTTTTAAATGTTGATCGAACAAAAACTTATTTTTATAATTTACTTTGCATCTACAAAAAATGCAAAATAAGCTTTCACTTCAATAAAGTTTTTTTTATACTCGCAATTTTCAGTGATACGATTATTTAAAGTAATCATTTTTAAAAAACAAAATTGAAAAATGAAATTGAAAATAAAAAAAAATTTCATACTTTTATCTAAGCTTTATTTAATAACAGTTAACAATGGTTTGATTTTCAGAGATTATATTGTTAATTTTATTAGTACTAATAACGAAACTAATTTCAGATAGTTATGACTTTTTAGTACGTACTAAAATCAAACCTAATTTTTTGATTTATTAATATAAACATTAATGCCTTCTTTTGGCTAAGAATCTAAATAAAAGCATTATTATCTTTATTGAGTAAATATAAAAGTTTAATTTTATTATAAGGTGGATCGAAATTATCTGAATTAGTTTCGCTTGTAATATCACTTTTAAAAGTTTCGTACTTATCAGTTATATTGCAGCGCATATGATTTACATAAAACGTAATTACATATGCATATACATCGTATCTATTCTTATTTATATCGATATATAATACGTATAAGTATAAAAAGACCCCACGTGATTTTTTCTTTTTTTACTAATTAAATAAGAGGGTTTATGCGGCAACTTACGGTATACCAGATATATATAGAAATTAATTAAATCTAAATATATCGATATATCGATATATTCTTTTGAACTTTCTGCAGATCTTTTCATAACAGCTAAGTACTTAGATACGTACGTATGTACGTAAAAAAGTCAAATTTACCTTAAGAGCTTACAGCTTTCAATACGTAGCAAGTATATGTTACAAGATAATGCAACTTTATCTTTAAAAATTTAGATTATTATATGAATTCACCTTTATCATTATTTTGATACTAAACGCCACAATGTTTTTTTCGGTATTAGTGATACCTCAAAAATGTGTGTTAAACATTGTGCATTATTATTGCGGTGACGGAGAGACAAGATACAAATAAATATATTAACAATAGCGATAAGGATTCATGTCTTCTCTTCCTTCTCTTCCTTCTCTTCCTTTCTTCACTTTTCTTTAGTTATATTTTTTCTTTTACTTTTTTAAAAACGTTTAACTGTTTGTCATCACAAATCTCTAGCATTATTTTAATATCACTTATTATACGCTCATAGATGCGTGTTGACTAAGTTGAAGCAACGAACTGGCTCCGCTTGATATTCATTAAATTTTTAATGTAATAAATAGAATTTTAATATCATAAATCATTATTAGATTGACTCGAACCTTTAAGAGATTCTTAAAAAAATTATAAATAAGCTACACTAAAGTTTGTACATGTTTTGGTCAAGCTTGAGGTTAGAATTACCCAACTTTTTCAGGTCAACTCGTCACTTCTCTATTGTGTGTATAAATTTAAAATTCTAACATATAAATTTTCTAAAAGATTTTCATTAGAATATTTCCATTGGTAGTGTAACATTTACTTCGCCTTTCACCGGCGAAATGGCCGTGTCTGTAGCGAATTACCAAGGCGGGCAAAATGTGCCAAAATTGAATTCCTTAGGATATGATGACGAAAGTGTTTCATTAGCAAAAAAATGTTCACATTCTCCGAAACCTTCTCGTCTTCCTATTTTTGAGACAAATGTATCACAACAAAATGGTTCTGGAAATTCCCAACGTAATCCATTACAAGGAAATGTACGTAGCAGCGCTAATATGAGTTCTCATCGTCATAGTATGTATTGCGGTGATCCTTCATCTAATTTACAACAACAGTCACCTTCACAAAATCGTAATGGATGTAAACAATCTTTATCACAAAATCGTTTCGAAAAAAAGAGAGCTTCTAGTTTTAGTAGTTTTAGTAATTTTAGTGATAATTCTGGAAAAATCAAATCATCGCAAAGTTTTAATCCATCATTACCAATAAGTACATTGCAGAAAGTTGATAAACAATCAGCTTTACCTCAACAGGGTGAAAAATCTTCCCCAATTTCTAAATCTCCTAAATCGATACAAGGATCTGAACAATTACAAAAGTCATCACAGATAATAGGTCAAGAAAAGTCTTCGCAACATCCAGATCAAAAGCAGTCATATAGTAAATTAGATCAAACCCAAAAATTTGGGGAATCTACTAAGAGAGTTCAACAAGAACAGAAATTCATGGAAAAGAAATCATCTACACCTGACCCAAATAATAAAATTTCTATTCCATCACCAAATCATAGTTTGGAATTAGTGTCTCCCAAAAATCTTGATCAAAAACATTCTGAAGATCATTCAGAATCTACTAAAAAAGGTACAAATGACGATACTAACTCAAATATTGTTGTCTCTACTGCTAATGTTGCGCAAAACCCTCAGAATTCAATAGGACAACAATCATCTAATCAACAATCTTTCAATTATACAAATGACCTCCGGAAATCTATGTATAAAGAACAATCCACTTCTTTTACGAAGCGTTTAAGAAGAGTATTTAGTTTAAGTAATATTAAACAAGATGGTGCTACACAAGTTAATTCATCGTCCTCAAATACTTCAAGTTCACCATCATCACCTCTAAGTTCTCCTGCCATTACTCCTAAATTTTCTTCTCTTCGAGTTAAAGGGAAGAATCACATAGATAATTTAGATGAGAATAATAAAAATAATAATATAAAGCCAACCACTAAGAATAGTAATATCGATAAAAATATATCTAAAAATGATACTGGTGTTACAACAAATAATAATAATATTGGTTCAACTTCTTCATCCCACTCTCGCCGTCGAACATTTATGGATATTCAGTCATTATTCGCAAAGAATGATAAGAAACAACATAAAGAACTTAAACATCAGCATCAATCTTCACAACAAGAACGACAGCGACAGTTTCGAACTTCCTCTTCAGACAAATGTCCTAGTCAAAAAAAGCGATCTGAAGATAAAAATCGGAATTCTAAGGAAGGAACTGATGTTTTAAATCCTTCTGATGACAATCAAAATAAAGACAAACAACAGAATGAAAATAAACCAAAGAAAGAACGTAACTCTATGGAAATTTTCAAAAAAAAGGGTAAGGTTAAAATTTTTACGTAAACTTCAAAATAATTCTTTATGAATTTAATTTTGTATTATAATAAAATAATGTAGCATCTATTCCTCCTCGGTTTTCTTCTTTGCCGTCACGAAAAAACAACCGTTATAAACATCCACCAATACAACCATTACAACTTCAATGTCAACCACAAACTAGCAACCAGTCCGTTCCAGTTAATCAAGATTCTTTATCTGAAGATTGTGTCAACAAGCAACATATTACTCAAAGTCAATCAGATTCTTTATCTGAAGATTGTATCAACAAGCAACATATTACTCAAAGTCAATCAGATTCATTGCCAACACCTCAATCATCAGTAACTACTTCACCTTCTATCGAAACATCTGAAAAGCTTAATACTCCTACATTTATTTCTACCATTAAAGCCAATAAACCATATCTTAACATGAACACAAGCGCATCTCGTTCTGTACCTTCGTTTACTACTACTAGGGATACTGAACTTCCTTTAACTCCATCTACACCTTCTTCTTTGAAGAAACTTCAATTTTCTTCAAATATTCTTATACATGAAACTTGGACACGTGACGATTACGATCGTCGAGGCGATCAGACAACTTGTAACAAGCTCACCCCTCTTCTTGCTCAAAAGATTAAACAAGAATTAAATGAATTCAAGTTGATTGAGATGCAAGTACATGAAGACAGCAAAAAGAATACACATTTTTTTGCTTAGAGTGACTGTTTTACCATTGGTTTATGTATCAAATAACATTTAATTTGAGGGTAATTTTTATCATTCTCATATAACATTGGGTTGAATTAGATTGGTTTGTGGTATATATTATGAAAAAAATTTTTGGTGTTTATAAATTTATACATATACATTTTGTATTCATAGCTTACAGTAATCATATATATATATATATTCATAGTATCAACATTTATTTATTTATAGAATTTTATCCTTATTTTGTAGTTTTGTTCTTTTTGGAAGAGTAATGACAAATGTTGAAAAGACGTAAATTCAAATCTAAATCTAGTAGATAGAATAAATAATTTTTACACTATGCTAATCAATTTGTCCTTAATAAGCAAATGTTTATTAATTAAGATAGAAAATCCTTCTCAGAAGCGGTTTTCACTCTTATGCCATCATCTTTATAATATACATTGCTATATTTTACTAAGATAAATAAAACTTCTATAATGTTCTTAAGAAAACTATATTTTCATGTTCTTTAAAAGAATTCTGAGCTAAACCTAATCTATTTTTCACGACCTAAACTTTAGTTTAAAATATACATTCGAGAAATAGAAATGTGTTTAATTCACGAACAAGAAATTACACAAGTAAAATTTATTTTTCATTCTTTTGTTTTATTCTTAGCGATTCTACTAAGGATCTAAGGATTACAATACAACTACCTTTGTAAACATATAACGCTCACCAATAAAGCTTACTCCAGACTATTGTTTATGGACCCAGGTACAATCTGCTAAAGCAACTATTCATCTCATTTGGAATCTTTAACTTACTAAAGATTTTGTTTTCTCAGTCAATGATAGAATGTCAAACCCTTGTTCTACTGTCACGCTTGAAATCCACCCCTAAATAGAATTCAAGAACTATATGGTATAATAGTATAAAAACTTTTATCCTTACCAAAAAATAAATAGTACAAGTTACTTGTATACGTATTAAACCGACTAATATATCAAATAAAAATATATAGTTTTACTTGCTCATTAAGATTATTATTAATATAAAATATCAATAGAACTAACTAAACTAGACACAAAAAACTAATGCAAAATAAATAATTAAGAATTAATATTTAAATAAATAATTCCAAAAAATAAATTTAAAGTTAGGCACAAATCTAAAAAAAAAACTCTTAGAAAAATTAAATTGAATGTAATAAAATAAATCAAAACATAATCATTAGAAAAATTTGATAATAAAACTTTGTATTCTTGATTTTACATTTTTATGTTTCATTATAGATAGATATTTTCAAATAAATTTTGATTTGTTTGTTTAATAATTTTATAGGCTTGCTAATCTTTCTAAAATTAGAAATTTTAAAAACTTCTTATCTAGGATGTGGTAACTTAGTAAAGTGGATAAAATTGTCAACCTTTCAAGTGGCGGTAGAGTTCAAAACCTACTAATGGCAAATATTTGATCAATTATTTGTGCAAAATTGTATTTAGTATAGAACTTTAGGGCTGACTACTTAAATAGCAACCAAAAGTTGCAT